TTTCTGATGTTGCTTTTGAAACCCAGAAGATAAGGGAGGAGGGAAAATAAGGTGTCATGTCTGTCTGCCACTGTTAATATTTCTGGGATGTTAATCTTGAGTTTTCAACCTGTGTGTTCCTACCAGATTGGTGGAGGAGGTAACTTTTTTCTTTACTTAGAAGAACTTTCATGTATTTGGTGATGAGGAGGGAGAAAAACAAACTAAAATCTCTATAATGCAGGTATCATTACCTCTGCTTTTATATATATATATTTTGTATTCATAATTGCTGTGTAATCCAGGCCCAGATTTTCTGACAGCATAGAATAAAGAACATAAACTCAGGTAACTTATGTGACACTGATCAGAATGCTTGTAGAAAAATCTTGGGGTTTGGGTTTAAAACAATAAAAAGAGGAGGCAGTGGGTTGTTGACATGGCTCTGTCCATAATGAATTGCCTTCTTGTGGTTGTTATTTCTGTATAATCACTCTTTGACTATTACAATACTGTGCTTTTTCTAAAAATAAAAATCCTAATTTTTTGTCTTTTTTTTACTGTCATCATTTTTAGGCTAAAATCTACGAAGCAATGCTTGATTATTGCATGTCTGTAGTTTTGGATGTAGAGAAGCCATGTACAAGATGCAGTTTTGGCATGGTTTGGGCTCTGGTGTTACCAGCTTGGGAGCAACAGCCAGTGCTGTTTGACCCCAGCATCAGATTTAATTCCTGCAGGGGTAAGGATGTCAGCTGCAGAAACAGATTGGGATGGCTGACACCCTGGGGGTTTTTTTGTTGTTGTTTTATTTTTTTTAACATAACAAATAGAGAAAATAAGAATGCCTATGGATGGTTTTGCTGCTTCTTCCAAGCTAAAAGTTCAGAGGGGATGTGTTGTAGAGGTGACTGCTCTGGTGGTGGGGATGAAGCAATTGCTGAGACCAAACCTCCAGCTTTGTAGCTGTTGGAATGCTGGAGTGTCCAGCCTGGGCCCATGAGAAGCCAAATTAACAGCTCCAAACTGATGCCAGTCCTACCTTCAAGTGGTTTTTTTCTCCTCACAGTGTCATACTCTGAGCTCTTGTTCTGCTCCAGGTGAAGCTCTGTAGGTTTTGTTCTGACAAAAGCAAAAGTATTCCAACACTTCTGCTACGTTTTGGGTTCTCAGTGCCAGTGACCCTGCTCTGAGTGCTGGGAAGTGAACCTGGAATGGCTGGAGACGCTAAGGAGAGGTAGAAGGTAGAGCCTGGCATATTCCCAGATCACCCCTGGGTAACCCCCAGGCTCCCCAGAAACACTTCAGCCTCTCCATTCTTCCATGGGGTTTGAGTGAAGGAAATGGAAGAGCCTTGTGGAATAGAGTGGCTTTTAGTGTTTGTGGTGCTTTGGCTCAGAGGATGAGACAAGGCTGCCCTGGCTGGGTGTGAGGAGCAGAGCAGGAGGGGAGCGGGCTCTGTGCCCTCGCTTCCACTGAGAGACACTGCGTGATGTGAGCTTTAGAGACAGATGCCACCACAGGAGAGGAGGAGATTGCACTGCTGAGACTCTTGTGCCCAGCATCCAAAAGAGGAGCTGACCTGGTGTCCTGCGAGGAGAAGGGCTGTGTCATCCTCTGTAAAAGATGCAAGGGAACAGGCACTGCCTGGCTTTTGGGACTGGGATCTGAGAGGAGCCACCTAAAGCAGGGCTGTTCCCTTCTGCCTCAGGCCAGCTTTAGACGCTCAGTTTGTGCTTCCAGAAAATTGCTTTGGTTTGCACAGAACAACAGTGATGGCTCAGGTGGCAGAGATAGGGGACTGTAGGGTCAGGGCAGCAGAACTGGGGGGGCTCTGGGCTGTCCCCACCACAGGAAGACTGTGCCACACTGCCAACTCACCATCCTGGGAGCAAATCAGTGAACTGGGAACAGGAGCGTTGGCAGGAGACCCAGGGATGTCCTGCTCCCCGTCATGCCCTGTGTCACATTCCATGTGACAGCTCAGCACACTCCGTGTGGGAACTGCTGCGGTGACAGGGACAGTAAATGTGCTCTGGGACACCCAGGAGCTGCCCTTAACAGCCCAGGGGTGCAGGTTCACATCCTGCCGGCTCTCCTCCCACCCTGCTCCTGCTGCCAGGTGATTTTCCAGCGCAGGTCCCAGCTCTGGCTCCACCTGCAGACTTTTTCCTACCCTGGGTCTATCCCACGGTGCAATCCACCCAAACTCAGCGGCTGCCGCGAGCGAAACCCTGTTGGGACACAAAGTGTCTGAGCAGCCTTCCTGATGCTCTGCAGGACCGAGCGGGGCCCTGCAGACAGGACTTTATCTGGGAGCAGCACCTGCCAGACAACTAATCTTGGGAGCACGTCTGCGCTCCTTAGCAGGGCTGGGGGGAGGCTGCAGCTGTGCAGGAGACAGGATTCATCTGCTTCCCCTCATCCACATGCAAGGAAAGCCCCTGCCCGCCCTTCTCCCACCGCCCTTTGCCTTTCATTTGTCTCCACGGCCTCCCCTTCTCGCGCCGCCGGCGCTGAAAGCCTTGGAGAAGTGGCAGCGCAGCCTCCGGGAGAGGGGCAGAGCTGCTCCCCCCGAATGAGCTCCTGCATGAATTAGGGGAGGGTGAAGCCAGCCTTTGTGAGCGGAGCGGGAGCAGCTGGTGCAGCAGCTGTGTCCCAAACCCTGCCTCATCCCAGGAAGCGCCGGGCTGAGGCTCCCCAGGGATGGGGAGAGCCCCGCCAGCCATGCGCTCCCGCCCGGCTGCCGGGGCTGCCTTTTCCCCCCTCCCCAGATGGAAGAAGCATTAACTGTGTGCAAACATCTGGTCTAACTGTTGCTTATGCTTCGCAGTAATGATGATATTGCAGTGGAAGGGCTCTGGAGAGTGGGACCTGGAATATTAGAAGGGCTGAGTGTTAATTAACTGTATTAATTTCCTTTAAGCAAGGCAGCGTTTCTGTTTGCTCTCTGCTGATGAAGAAATGAGGCACAGCGAGTTGATTTGATTGGTCACGGACATGCACCATGTTACTGCCGTATTTAAGGATGGAGGGATCCAAGGAAATCGCAGCCCTGCCCCGCGTTGGCTGTCCCCAGGGGAATTGCAGCCACTGCCAAAGTATCCAGCATAAAATCCTTTAAAGCCAGAAACCTGTTAGGCCGGCCCAGGGACACTGCATGTCGGGATCTGCTCCGCAGCAGAGGAGTTAACTCATCCCTGAGAATGCCTCCTGCATCCCACGCACTGCTGGGAAAAAGAGCCCATCTCCTGCATCCCGGGCAGGTCAGGCTTGGCAGCGGGGCCGGGGCAGGAGCCAGCACTGGCTCACAGCCCTGCCTGGCAGCAGCAGCGGGCTGGGGGCCACTCTGCTCCACCCCAGACCCCCAGGGACACGTGGGGAAACTCATGGGGGAACACAGGGGTGGAACCCTGGGCTTGGCTCAGCAGGGGTTTGGATCAGACCCCACTTTGCTCATGAGCTTCCCCACATCTGGACCTTGTAAAAGGCCTAATCTTTAAATGCTTTTTTTTTTTTTTTTTTAAGCAGGATGTACTTTTTTCCTTTTTAATTTTGCTTCCTTATGCAACAGAAGGTTATCAGTGTCCTGCAGGCAGGAGATACTGGCTCTGGGAGCCGCCTGTCCCGTGTCTCGTGGGTGGATTCGCATCTTTCTCAGTACATGGGGCCACTCCCGGCTCCGTCTGCTGTCCCTGTGTCCCTGCCCCTCCCCGGCCACACGATCCCGCGGCCGCAGATAGCGCCTGGCACGGTCAAGTGCAGGTTGTGCTCCCGGCAGAGCTTTTCCTCTGCCCTGTAAAGGGTTATCAGCCAGTCCTGAAGGAGCTGCCGAGATCGGCAGCTGTTTGGTGTTTGGAAACAGAATGCCGTGAATCATCCGCCAAACGGATGGAGCAGATTGCAGCATCCCAGTCCTTCCGTGCTCGCTGGACCCCTGGAGCAGCATCTGAGCCTGAAGCCTCCTGACTTGCCCGACAGCCTCATCCATGGTCTCGGGGTGCTTTAAACAAGGCAGATGGACAAGCCTGAACTGATCCCTTCATCTTTTAGACAGAAATTCTGCAGACACCTTGCCCCACAGTACAGGAGAGCCCCTGCCCCAGCAGGCTGAGCACCCACTGATATTCCCCAAAGGCAAGGCATTGCTGCGGGGGATGCCACGGGCACGGGCCACGCTGGGCTTGCTGTCACCCCCGGGGAAGGGAAACACACTGGGGGCAGCCTGGGCCACCCCGCAGAGCCCAAAGCCGCCCTCTTCCCCACCAGTGCCACCCGTGGGAGGGTGGAGCCCGCAGGGGAGGGGAGCGATATGAACTTTGCTCGTGGGTGCGTGCCGCTGTGCTCCCGGGCCATCCGGAGCGGGGAGCAGCCGCGCCCGCAGCAGGAAGCCCATCACCCCGGCGGGGCTGAGTCCGGCCCGGGACCGGCTCTGCCTGAGGCTTGAAATCCCCACGGGTGGGCAAACCGGGAACCGGGGCCGGTTCGGAGCGAGGAATCCGCGGCGGCACACAGGAGGGGGACACCGCCATGGGGGGCACAAACAGGGACACGGGAGGGGACACCCCCGGGGGGGGCACACAGAGCGCGCCGCACCCACGCGGCGCCCCCGCCGCGTCCCCGAGCCGCGCTCCGATTGGCCGCCGCCCCGGCGCGGCGTCGCTGATTGGCCGCCTGTCAGCGCGGCCCCCGTCCGCCAATGGCCGCGCGGCACCGCCCGCCGCCCCGCGCGCCGCGGCCAATGGCAGCGCGCCCTCGCCTCCCCGCCGCGGCGGGCGCAGCCAATGGGCGGCCGGCGGGGCGGCTCGCGCCGCTTTTCGCGGCAAAAAGGATTTGGCGCGCAAAGGCGCGCGGGGCCGGCGCGCCGAACAATCCGGCGGCGGGCGCGGAGCGGAGCCGAGCGGAGCCGGATCCGGAGCTGGAGCGCGGCGGCCCCGCGCCCGTCCATGGGCCGCGCCCCTGTCCGCGCCCTGCCCGCCGCGCCGCCCGCCGCACCGGCGGCACCGGCTGCCATGTGAGCCATGGCGGCGGCGGGCGGCGCGGCGGGGCTGGCGGCGCTGCTTGGCAGCGCCTCCCCGCACCTCCTGATCGTCTCCGCCGCCGCCGAGGAGCCGACGGGCGGCGGCCACCCCGATTCCGACCTCCTGCTCTTCGCCACGCCGCAGCCCGCCCGCCCCGGTGCCGCGCCCAGACGGCCCGCGCTGGGCCGCCCGCCGGTAACCCCCGCGAGTGGGATGGGGAGGGGGCGGGGGCTCCGAGGACCGGCGGGGCCGGGCCGGGCCGTGTTTCGGGCTGTACAGTATTGGGCCTCGTGGAACCGGCCGTATACCGAAGGGGCCGTGTACCCGCCCGGGCTACACCGAGGCGGGCTGTACAATGGGCCCGGCTGGATACCGAGCCGTGCCACACCGAGCCGGGCTGTACAGCGAGCCGTGCCGGACACGGTTCCATACCGGGCCGGGCCGTGCCGCTCCGTGCTGTGCCATATGCCGTGCCCTGCTCCGTGTCAGCCCGTGCCCGGTGCCCCTGGCCGTGCCAGGCTGTACTGCCGGGCCGTGCCACGCAGCACCTGCCGGGCCGGCCCTGCCCCGCCGCCGCTCCGGAAGCCGGGCCGTGCTTTGCCTCCCCACGCCGGCTTTGGGGCGCTCCCCGCTGCGTGGCCGGGCCCCCGCGGCTGGGACAGCCCCCCATCCCCGCCGGTGTGTGTGACAGCTCCTGTGAACCCCCTCCTGCCGGGATCTGGGGTGTCTGTACCCCACAGTGCCGTGGGAGGTTCCTCACAGAAACCCTCCATCAGCAGTGGGGCCCTGGGGGTGGCTGTCCCTCTGCTGACCCCATCCCTTGCAGGTCAAGAGGAAGCTGAACTTGGAGACGGATCACCAGTACATAGCGGAGAGTTTGCCAGTGAGCCGGGGCAAGGCCAGGAACCCTGCTAAAGGTATCAACTCCACTCCCCCTGGCCCCTCTTTGCCAGAGCAGAGGTCCAGCAGCCCCTCTCTGCTCCCTGGTAGGTTTTTCCAGTCCCTTTGTGTCGGTCTGGATGGGCTGTCCCTGGGGCTGGCCTGTTTCTGTCTGCTCTGCACTCTCTGCTGTACTTTGTGCTGGTTCCATGGCTGTCCTGCTGGGCACCACACTGGCTCAGTCCCTCCCTGTGGGATGGAGCTGTAGGTGCCAGCATGGTGTCAGTGCAGTGTCCCAGGTGGATCTGCTGTCATCTCCCCCCTGAGCCCTGCCTGGCACTCGGTGTCTCAGTCACAGCTGTGGTCACAACGGAGCACAGGTGCCACAGCCTGTGCCAGCTGCTGCAACATCCCTCTTACAGGGGCTTTGGGCAGCTCACCCCATTGCCCTGAGAAAACAGGTTGGGTTTGGGGTGCCAGTCCTGGTCTACAAGGCACCTGCAAGCATGGCAGTTTTGTCACCTTTCAGCTTCAGCTCTGGGTTTCCCCTGTGGCTAAATGACACTTGTCCTCCATGTCTGGCAGGGGCAAAGTCTCCTGGAGAGAAATCCCGCTATGAAACCTCCCTGAACCTCACCACCAAGCGCTTCCTGGAGCTGCTGAGCCAGTCCCCAGATGGTGTGGTGGATCTCAACTGGGCGGCCGAGGTCCTGAAGGTGCAGAAGAGGCGTATCTACGACATCACCAATGTCCTGGAGGGCATACAGCTCATCACCAAGAAGTCCAAGAACCACATCCAGTGGCTGTATGTCCCCTGGCCCATGGGGCTGTGTCTGGCTGTACCCTGGGGTGGGGGACGGTCTTACTTGGGTGAAGAATTTCAGGGCAAGGTCACCAGAGCTTCTGCTGCAGGCCAAGTGGTGGCCCCCTGTGGGAAGGGCTGTGCTCAATGGCACCAGGCTCCTGAGCAGCGTTGGTATCACCTGCGAGTCCCCCTGGGGCTCCCCAAGTCATGCAGGGGAGTGGGAGGCTGCATCCAGCCTTGGAGAGCAATCTGCTGCAAAATCCCTGTGGGTCTGGTTCCCTGGGTGTGGGGTGGGACGTGGCCTGGCCTCGGTGAGGCACAGGAAGCTGTGGGGGTTGGCTGCTGATGGACACGGTGCTCCCCAGGGGCAGCCAGGCCACGGTGGGAGCGCCAGGCCAGCACCGGCTGCTGGAGAAGGAGCTGCGGGAGCTGCAGGCGGCCGAGCGGCAGCTGGATGACCTCATCCAGATGTGCACGGTGCAGCTGCGCCTGCTCACCGAGGACCCCGCCAACCAGCAATATCCTTTGGTTCTGGGGTGGGGCTGGCTGGGTGGCGGCTGTGGTTGAGCCTCAGTGTCACAGGCAGGCTGTTTCTCAGCCCACATCCCCACATCCCTTCCTTGACCCGCCCCACCGCAGCCTATGTGACCTGCCAGGACCTCCGCAGCATTGTGGACCCCGCGGAGCAAATGGTGATGGTTATCAAAGCCCCCCCAGAGACCCAGCTGCAGGTCTCAGATGCAGCGGAGGTGAGTTGGGGTCAGGCTCTGCTCCTCCTCTGCCCTCCCTGAGCAGCCCCCCGTGCCCTGGGCATCCTTGTGCCGCCTTGTCTCACTCCTGTCCCCTTCCCCAGGCGTTCCAGGTCTCCGTGCGAAGCACTCAGGGCCCCATTGACGTGTTCCTCTGCCCCGAGGACAGCTCGGGGGTCTGCAGCCCCGTCAAGAGCCCCTTCAAAGCCCCTGCAGAGGACTCTTCTCCCAGCCATTCACAGCCCAGAGCCTCCCTGCTCCTGCATCCCGCCCAGGATGTGAACATGCCGCTGCTGCCCGGAGAGCAAGGTGGGGCTGGGGACACAGGGAGCTGGTGGGATGTCACGGTGGCTCTCATCAGCCCCTCTGCTGTTGGCACAGGCAAAGAGCTGGCATGATGCTTGGGCACCCCAGCAAGGCAGGGAGGGGGGAAGGCAGGATCTCCATAGCCAAAAAAGCTTTTTTGAGGGTTTATTGGGACATTATTATGGGATTTACAGCTGCTCTTCACCCCCACAGAAGCGCTGCTGCCAGGGCCAAGTGTGCTGCCTGGCAAGAGCCCGGAGGAGGAGGTGAGCCTGTCTCCACTGGCCTCCATGGACATCCTGCTGGAGCAGAGCAGGGAGGACTTGGCGGGTTTCTTGGCCGATGAGTTCATCAATCTGTCGCCGCCGCAGGCGCAGGACTATCACTTTGGGCTGGAGGAGGGCGAGGGCATCAGCGAGCTCTTCGACTGCAACTTTGGGGACTTCACCCCCTTGGACTTCTGAAGCTGTGCCCGCCCTGGTGCTTGGGGGAGCTGCCAGGGGAGGGGGCAGCCCTGGCAGGGCAGGGCAGCCCCTCAGGCTCCAGCGCCCGCTGTTCCTCCCCCATCCCTTTTTGCAATATTTTCTCCTTATCCCTCCATCCCCCCCAGCCTGGTGGGGGCCGGTGGCATCCTCAGCTCCAGCCCCACAAGGAGGATGCCAGGGTGGGGTTCCCATCTTGGGAGACCCCCCCCACAGGGCCCTGATCAGGGGAAACTGCCCAGGGCAGAGCCTCTGCCCCCCAGGAGCCCATTCCAGAGCTTTAAGCAGTCCTGTGTATAGATTAATGATTTGATTAATTTATTATTGTCCCCTGGGGACAGCGTTTCATTTCCATGGGGGTTTGGGGGGGCTGTACAGCAGACTGGGGGTGCTGAGAGTTTTTGTTTTGCTGGGAGGGGGTGGTGGAGATGTGGGGGGTGCTGGGCCAGGGCTGTCCCCCTGCGTGGGGGCTGCCCACAGCCTGGCTGAGCGTGGGGTATTTATTTATTATTTATGGCGTGTGGAGCTCTCCCAGGATGTGGAGGGGGCAGGAGGGAGCAGGAGGACAGTGCTGGTGGGACCCAGAGGGTGCCACCAGGGTCTCACCAGCACATCCTGGCTTTGCTTGTGTCCGAAATGGGGCTGGCAAGGCCATGGCTGTGGCAGGTAGGGCTGCAGGAGCGGGGATGGGGCTGGTGGCCCTGGGACCATGTGCGTGTCCCCTGGGGGGCACAGAGGTGTCCAGGGGAGCGTCTCTGCAGGTGAGCACCCAACGCTGTCTCCAGGCTTTCCTTCCCCTCCCTGTGCAGCCATTCAGCCCTTTGGCTCTGGCTCCCCATCCCCAGGCCACGGGGGCTGGGAGAGGAGGGGAGGGGGGTCCTGGGGTCCCCTGGGCTGAGCTGGAGACGCACTTTGACTTTCACTGCCATTTAACAAGCTTATGTTCCTCTGAGCTTTGTGTTTAATAAAGGTTTCTACTGTCCTTCGGCTGTGCTCAGGTGCCTGGGGGTGTGAGGGGTGGTGGGTGGTGGGGACCTCAGCTGAGAAACCAAGAGGTTTGGGCTTATTTTGTGGTCTGTTTTCTGCTTTGAATTTGCAATACACGACCGGGTATGTCTGTCCCTGAGGCTGCAAGAGGTGCTTGTGTGGTCCTTGGTCCCACACAGGGTGGGATCTGGGGCTGATCCTGCCCTCCCTGCTCCTCCAAAGAGGCTGTGCTGCAGGAGGTTGGGGTGATGGGTCTGGATGGGGTTTGCTTTCCTTTCAGCAGTCCCTGTCCCTCACTTGGCTCCTCTCCTGCCTGGTCCCTTCCCTGCCTTCCCCCAGTTTTGGGGCAGCGTTTTCCTGGCTGTGGCTGCAGCCATGGGGCCATTGTGAAGACACTCCATCCACTGAGTTCCCAGTGTCCCCTGTTCACCCCAGCTCTTGGTGCTGCCTCAAGGCACCTGCTGGCACCAGTTTCTGGCCCAAAGTTTAATGTCCCCATGTCCTTGCTCTCTGGGGAGACAAGGCCAGCCATGACTCTGGTGTGCCTCTGCAGCACACCAGGACTGAGGGACACTGGGGACCCCAGGGGGAGGGATGCTTGCAGGTGCCAGGACAGCCAGGATGGGGCTCAGCAGGGCCATGGCCACTGCCCCAGTGGCAGCCAGGGGTGTGCTACTTCCTGCCCGTGTTTGTGCACTTTCTGCCCTCCTCCTACCCAGCCTCCTGCCTGGTTTTCTTTTAAACAGCCTGATAAATATTTCACCCTGACCATGTTGTGTAAACTCACCCTGCTCCTGCAGCGGCAGGGAATGGGATCCCAGGCTCAGGACAGGCTGCTGGTGGGTGCTGGGTGGCACAGAGAGCTCATCACCACTGCCTGGCCTCCTCCTGCACCCTCTTCCCACCCCCGAGGCAGTGCCTGGCTGGCTGTGCTGCCCCTGCATTGTTCTTACAGCCGGACACGTGGGGATGGCAGTGTGCAGGTGTGGGGTGCCAAACCCCACGGCTCAGCTCATACCATTCCCTTTCCCAGCTTTCCCAGCCCTCCAAAGCAGGGCAGCAGGGCCAGCCAGGGCCCAGCAGGGCAGTGGCACACACAGGCTGCCATGGGTGAGCCCTGTGCCTGGGTGGGAAGAGCTGGGACTTGTCACGCTGTCACCCCTTCAAATGGGGCTTTTTCAGCCAGTGATGCTGGAACAGTATTCCTGCTGCTCTGATCCATGGGATTCCTGCCCCACAGAGCCAGGGCATGCACCAGGTGGGAGGGCACACACCCAGCTCCCTGCCTGCCGTGTCCCCCACTGCAGGGTTGGTGTTTGTCACCTGAGGTGGCAGGTGCTGGAGGTTTTATGAGTTACTGCAGGGTGCCCAGCCATATGCCAACTCCTCCTCATCCATCCCTCCTCCTCTGCTCTGCTCAGCTCCATCGTGATGGATGGCGCTGGTGCTCTGCAGTGCTGCCAAAGGGGAGAGACCCCGGCACAGGAAAGGGTTTTTATGGGAGCCAGGAGGCACAGGGAGAGGGGAGAGGATTTACACTGACATCCCGAGCTCCACAGGGCTGCTCCCACAGCCACCCAAGCCCCAGCAGCGACAAAGCCCTGCCTCTTTCCCCTGGGCAAACCTCTCTGATGGCATCCCTGGAACCTCCCTGGACCCCACATCCCTTGGCACTCCCAATGCCCATGGAAGCATCCCCGGCAGGGACAGGGCTGTGCCCCACTGCGGCAGCACAGCCCATCCCTGGGGGCTGCATTGGCAGCTCCACGTGAGCCACAGCACCGTAAAAATAACCACTCTGCCTCCCAGGATGATTCACGATGCAGCTGAAGGGCTTCCCTGCTGCTATTTCAGATGGCTGGAGGGGGAGCTGATGGGAGCTGCTTTGGAAGAGCACACGGCAGCGTTGGGAAGCAGCCCCAGGCGAGCCTGGTTTTATTTGTCTGCTCCAAAGATGCTTTTCATGGTCAGGAGATGGGCACCTTGCACACATCCTGCCTGCTCCGTGGGCTCTCAGCTCTCATTCCCAGGCACTGTGACCCCCACAGGGACCATGTCCATCCAGCCCTGGGGTGCTGTTGGGCAGCTGTGGTGATTCCATCAGCCCTGGAAAATGCTGTGCAGGATCTGGCCACGGTGCTGAGCCCCGCAGCCCTGGGGTGTCCTGTCCCTGAGCTGCAGGGTTGGGATCTGGAGTGTCCTGTCCCTGAGCTGCAGGGTTGGGATCTGGAGTGTCCTGTCCCTGAGCTGCAGGGTTGGGATCTGGGGTGTCGGGAGAGCTCCGCAGTGGGATGAGCTCCAGGACAGGCTGGCAGTGGCAATAGGTGCCCCCCATAAGGAGTTTGTACCTTTAACCTAATCCCCCTCAGAGGGTCCTGGAGCGGTTTGGGGTCTCTCCAGGCAGGGCTGTCCTGCCCCACATCTGCATCCCACCCCACACTTCCCTATTTCCACTTCCAAAAATACCTCATTTCCTCCATGAGGAACTTAGGGAGGTGAAGAGAAGCATCATTCATTTCTGGGATGCTGTTGAGTGGGTACTTCCTTTAATTCCAGCCTGTTGTGGTTTTCTGGGAGCAGAGCAGAGTCCTGGTGCCCCCCACAGCCGGGGCCATGTCCCCCTTCCCTGCTGTGGTTTTCTGGGAGCCCCTGTGGGATTTGGGAGCACCTGTTATCTCCTGCCATCAGCAGTTTTCTGAACTTCATCCTCATGCTCAGGCTGCTCCTTCCTGCATGGAAACTCACCCTGACTGCGAGGGATCCCACTGGACTCCGAGCATGGATTTTTGGAGCAGATGGGAGTGTGGGAAGCCCTTGCAAGGGGGTGGTTTAATCCACGGCAGAGCGCCACCATCACCCAAGCCCCTTCCATGCTCCCTGGCAAGGTGATTCCCCTGTCCCTGCTGCATCCCTCGCCTGTGTTTTGTTCCCATTCCCATTTCAGTTGGATTTGATGATGGTCACACTCAAGAGCTCCAGCCCTCGGACCTCTCTGCCTCCCTGGGGACAGCCCAAGTGTGGGGAGTGCACGTGCACCCTGGAGCCCTTGGATGCCCCTGCCAGGGCCCAGGTGCGCTTTTTCCACCTCTTTTGCCTTGAACACACCTGGAACAGCTGGGAGATGGTAAAAATAGCTGTGATGCCGTGGGCTCAGCTTGGAGAGCGCTATCCCAGAGGGAGCAGGAGCTCCACGTGCCACAGATCAAGCACGTTGGGGTGGGGAAGGAGCTTGGATCAGAGGCCTGGCTTAAGCAGAGCTGAGCTCAGCAGTCAGGGTGTCCTGGAGAGCTCCATGCAGAAGCAGAGGTGCTGAGGGAGGCAAACCTGCCTGGGATTCTGCAAAATCCAAGCAAAACTGGTTAATGCTTCTTTCTCAGTAAGAGAAATTCTGGAATGCAGGCCAAGTGCCTGTGCCAGGCAAGGGATGGGGACAGATCCTCCTCCTCCTCCTCATCTCCCCCAGCCTGCTGGGGCAGGGGGGGTTTCACATCTCTGGAGCTGTTGGGATCCTGGCGTGTTGCTCCAGAGGGAAGCAGTGTGGAGCAAAGGCTGCCTGGCACTGTGGGCATGGAGGAGCTGGCACCACCAGGAACTCATTTGGAACCACCCTGGGTGTCAGGGGACCTCTCCAGGACCACCAAAACCACGGTGGGACCACCTGTGGTCAAACTGGGGCCAGCCCAGGGCCAACTGAGGAAAATAGGACTTTCCCAGTGCCAAGAGTGTCCATGTTGGGACCACCTGCAGTCAAACTGGGACCAACTGGGACAATCAGGGCTATCCCAAACAACGACTGCACTGAGACCACCTGTGGTCAAACTGGAACCAACTGGAGCCACAGTGGGACAACCAGGGCTGTGCTAGGACCAGCCACGACCACACTATGACCACCACGGTCAAACTGGGGCAGCCCCAGGGCCAACTTGGGCAGTCAGAGCTACCCTGGGGCCAAGAGCAACCACACTGGGACCACCCATGGTTCAACTGGAACCAATTGGGGCCACATTGGTGTGATCAGTGCTACAGTGGGGTCAACAGCAACCACACAGGGACTACCCACAGTCAAACTGGGACCACTTGGGGCCCCACTTAAGGCACTCAGGGCTACGGTGGGGTCAACAGCAACCACATTGGGACCACCCATTACCAGACCAGAGCCACCCTAGGGCAAGCTGAGCCACCCAGCGCTACTGCAGGGCCAACAGTGACCACACTGAGACCACCCGCGGCCACACTGGGATCGACTGGGGCAACCAGGGCTACTGTGGAGCCGACACTGAGCCCTGCGGTCACACGGGGACACTCAGGGATGGACACACAAGCCATGCGTGGGAGCACACCGGGCTCTACTGGGTCCAACCGGGACCGCCCCAGCGGCGAGCGGGCACGGGGACACGGCGCGGCCCCGCCCCCTCCCCTCCGACAAGCGCATTGGTGGTTCTTGGTGCCAATCACGGTCCGTGACCAATCGGATGGCGGCGGGGGCGGGCCCTCAGCGGAGCCAAAGTTGGCTGTGGCGGCGGAGCCGCTCGGCTGAGTCGGGATCGGCGGGGCGCGACCTGCGCACGGGCCGAGCCGAACCGGGCCGAACCGAGCCGAGCGGAGCCGAGAGGAGCCGAACCGAGCCGAACCGAGCTGAGACGAACCGAGCCGAGAGGAGCCGGGCCGAGCCGAACCGGGCCGAGCGGAGCCGAGCGGAGCCGAACCAAGCCGGGTCGGGCTGAGGCAGGCCGAACCGACCGAACCGAACTACCCTGCCGAGCCGAACAGAGCCGAACTCATCCCTACGGCACAGCACCGAACCCGTCCCTACCGCACCGAGCTGATCCCTCAGGCACAGAACCAAACCCATCCCTACTGCTCCTTCCGCACCGAGCCCACCTCTACGGTACCGCACCGCGTCCTCCGGCACCGCACTGCACCCCGCGGTGCCGCACCGAACCCATCCCTACATCCCTGCCGTGCCACACCGCTCCACAGCCGCTGCACGGCCCCGCACCGCGCCTCCGGCACCGCACCGCATCCCAGGGCACCGCACCGCATCCCAGGGAACCGCACCGCATCCCAGGGAACCGCATCCCAGGGCACAGCACCGCATCCCGGGGAACCGCATCCCAGGGCACCGCGTCCCAGGGCACCGCACCGCCCTCCGGCACCGCACCGCTCCGCACGGCCCCGCGCCCCCGGTGCCCGCAGCACCCGCCCCCGGCAGGACCATGATGTCGTGTGCCGAGCTGCTGGCCGTGTGCCTGCTCTCCGCAGATCGCGGCCCCAAGCCCCACCGCCAGCCGCTGCCCATCTTCCACGACGTGAGTACCCCCCCGCACCCCTGGCCAGCCCCGGGCAGCCGCAGCACGGGTGGGTGTCGGGGTGAGGCTCCTTCCCGGAGGAACCGGCCCCAGGGATGCGCCAGAGACTCTGCTCCCCTGCCAGCCCGGAGCTGTGCATGGTCGTGATGGCTTAAATAATGATGTCGTGTCCTTCTGCTGAACGCTGGGCCTCTGGGTGGTTAGAAACAGCCCACGCCCCATCCAGAGCTGGCTGTCACGACTCCCGGAGCGGGAGCTGTGCCTGCCAGGAAGGCTGTGGAAGGTTCCCTGGAGCTGTTGACAGCCATGGGATCCAGCAGCTGCAGCCCCCGGGTGCAGCCCCTGTCCCTGGCCGCTCCAGACGCGCCGGATCTGGAGTTAAAAATGCAGGCGGTGGGTGTCTTTGTGTTCAGTGGTGCTGGCACAGCTCCTCCTGTCACACCGTGTCCCCTCCAAGGCCGGGCTGCTCCTGTGAGAGCACCCCGGGGCTCCGGGGCTGCATCCCGGCCATCTCCCGGGGCCAGAGCCCACCTCTGGAGCACCGGAGCTCGGCGCTCCTGCTCCTGCCCGTGTTCCGGGAGCTGGGCCGGGTGGATAGCCTGGTGAGAGAGCCCTGGCATTGCCGTGTGCCCTGCGCTCTGTCACCCTGCGGAGCGGGGAGATGTGCGGGCAGAGGTGCTGCCCCTGCCCTGCCGCAGGGCTGAGGAGGAGAAAGCCAGCGAGGGTTAAGGATAGGGGCTGGTGCTGCCCAGGTCGGTGCCAGCTGTCACCTCCCAGCTGTCATCTCCCCCTTGTCCCGATCACCTCCGTGTCCCAGTCCATCCCAGAGAAGGGGAACAGCACTTTGGGAAGGTGAATGCCACGTCTGGTCCAATCCAAGAGCTCCTGGCATTCCCAGGGAGGCGCTGGGAAGCGCGGCTCCCGCGGCCGTGGTGCTGCCAGCTGTGGGGGTCAGGGTCTCTCTCCTGCCGGGGGGGTTCGGGCTGCCAGGCTCGCCAGCCAGCATCATTAACCGCACTAATTACTTGGCTGAGGGAAGATGGGCAGGAGGGGGGCGGGTGGTGACAGCTGTGTTCCAGCTCAGCTCCTCGGGGCACTCGTTGAGTCGCACATCCATCCCTCAGGGTGTCATTAAAGCAATTAAAATGGGAAATGTTAACAACGCTAGCAGCTGCTTTCCGGGTTCTGACGGCTTCTCTTCCTCTGCCCTGGGACTCCTTTGCTGCCACCTTTGCTCCAGAGCTTGGCAGGGTGAGTTTAATCTCCGCACTTTTGGGTCCGGGCAGTTGGCCGGTGTCCAGCTGCCCCTCCTGCCTTCCCGGCAGCGCTGCCCACCGCAGATCCCGGCGGCTGCTGCTTCCCCTGGGACCTGCCTGCTCATCCCCTGCCTCTGGGAGAGGTGAGGAGGAGGAGGAGGAGGAGGGCTTTGCGGTACGAAGCGCAGTGCTGCCATGGGGCTGTGCAGCATCTCGAGCCTCGGGGAGATTTGTCCCTCAGGCTGGTGCCCGGTGCTTGCTCTCTCTCCTCCCGGGACTCGGGAGCTCCGGGAAGGACAGAGTCCCGTTGCCTGGCCACAGCCTGCCTCAGCTGCCGTGGGTCGATGAGCTCGCTGTCCCCAGGGCAGCTGTCCCCTCCCCAAAAGCCCCTGGCTGCCTGTCCAGCAGCTCCCAAACCTGCAGGCAGGGAGAAATCCTATCATCTCCTTCCTTCCCGGAGTACGTGTGGGGCTCATCTCGCAAATAAATGTTATTTCAGTGCCTCTTCCCTCAGTCCCGGCGAGGCTGCGGCTGCTTGGACGCAAGCCCAAGGGCTGAGGGAAACATGCCGGGCTCCAGGCAGTGCCCCTGTGCCTCTGAGGCTTGCCCTGAGGCAAGAGAGGGATTGCTTGTAGGGCCCTCCAGCAGCCCACAAAGAGCTAACCCCACTCCCAGCCTGGCTTTGCATCGCTTTTCCCTGGCTTTGTCCCAGGGCTGCTTTCCACATGGGGACAGCGCTCACCTGCCATGGCTGAGCATGTGCCTGTGCCCAGGGAGGGGACAGCCCTGGAAGTGGCTCTGTGCTGGTTGTGCTGGCTGGAGGGATGCTGGGCTCAGCCAGGGACTGCAGGACATTTGGGATGAGGCTCTGCCATTCCTGGGGCTCTGGAGCAGACGTGGCCTTGCCTCGGGGGCACTCACAGCTCCCTGCTTGTGCCACGTTTATTTTGAGCTGCAGGAGCTGTCGTGTATGCACTGGCTCGTGTAACTCTCTGAGCCTTGTGTGTGAGGGAGAGGCATCCACTCTGGTTTCTGAGGCTCCTGATGAACTCAGGGTGGGTTCATCGTGGATTAGAGACCTTCTGAGCCCCAGGGGATCTTCCCCGACATTGTGTTCTCCCTCTGAGCCCACGGGTAAACCCTGCTGAGCAAGGCCAGCCTGTCAGTGGGAAATGTTTGCCCTGGCTTCAATCTGCACCCAGTGCCTGGGTGACACTTGACTGTCTCTGGGCTAGGTGTTCTCTGTGACATCTGGAGCCACAGAGGTGTCATTACACGAGCCATGTGTCCCTCTGGTAACACAGAACTCTGCAGGATGGAGCTTCTCCCTTGATGGAGAGTCCACGGACATGTGGGACCCACGGGTGCTGCCCCTGCAGCCTTGAGACCCCACAAGGATCCCATTAGCCTGGAGAAAGCTTTGCTTTAAAATCCAGAGAAATCACCACTGTTTGGGAGCTGCAGGTTCCCATCTCAGCTCCAAAGTGCATCCAGCAGCTGCTGTGCCCTGCTCAGGGAGTGCCTGCCCCGCTTTCCTGCCAGGGCAGCAGCCTGGCCCGCTGCAGTCCCAGGGATTTGGTTACCTAATGCTGCTCGGCCCAAGGGGCAGCAGGAGCTCACCTTGTTCAGAAGAGCATCCTCCAAGGAGCTGCCCTTGCTCCTGGTTTTGGTCCCAGGGAAGGAACCAGCACTAGAAAAGCTTCTGCCCAGTTGCACGCTAGAGCAAGGTTTTCCTGGGCAGCTCTTTACCTCAGAGCAGTTTCTCAGGGAGATGTCAGGGCTGGATGTGGGAGTGTGGCCTCGGAACATGGGGCAGAGCAGGCGGTGGGCAGAGGGGCAGCGGTGCTCCAGGGGCTGCGTGTGGACAGAAACATTCTGTCTCCTTTCCCGGCCCTTTTTCTTCCCTAATCTTTCTTCAGACCTGCAGATTTCTTCATCACATATAAGGGACAGTTGCCACACAGACAATTTTCTGTCATTGAGTCCATTAGGATGTGCTGGACAAAACGTGGGAAAACATTCCCAGGCTTCGGAAGTGATGCTGGTCCTCACTGGAGTCAGCCCCAGACCTGGCAGTAATTCACTGGTGAAACAGATCCCAGCAGGGCTGAGCAGCCCCAGCTTTGTCCTGGGTCATGGGCAGAAGCCTCGTGGTTGGGAATCTGCGTTGGGACCCTGAACTGGAGCAGCTCTCCAACTGTGCTCTGTGGCAGAAACAGTTACAGATTAATTGATTCATTAATGATTCATTACAGTGTGTGTGCATGCCGAGGTGTCACAGGAAGGGCTGTGCTGAGGGGTGGTTACAAAGCTCAGGGCAGGAGCTGCTCCTCGGTACAGGTGATAGTGCTGGTGATGCACAAAGTGCTTCCTTACAGAGTGCATTTAAACCCAGTGTTCTTTCGTTTAAATGGGCTGAAAAATTAAACAGTTGCCATCACAAGGATGTAGCAAAGTCATTTCTGCTTCGCCTCTGTGTTCTCTAAAAGGTGCTTGTTGTGAGTGCCGGGCTCGCTTGGCCAAGGGCTCTGTGCATTAGAGGCAAGAAATGGGTTTAATCATTGGCAAAGGGGAATTTCCCAGAGCAGCCTGTGCAGTCCCAACAGCTGGGGCTTCTCCACAGCTCTGTGAGCTCCTGGAGGAGATTTTCTGTGGTGCTGCCTGGCTCACTGTTCACCTGCCCTTCTCTCCCTGCTGCCACACTGAGCCTTGTTGTGTTTTGTCTTGCAGATTTTCCGGCGAGCCGACAAGAACGGTGAGTGCTTTGCTCCTGCTGCTGCCTCCCCCTCCCTGCCTGGCTCTGGCTGAAGCAGCGTGGCTCATTCCCATTGGGAGGTTTGGCTGAAAGAGGGAGGGTGGAAAATGCTTTTCTGCTTCACCTGGATCCCAGAGCCTGGCCAGGGAATGGGCTCCCCAGTTCCCCATCCAAACACCACACAGGACACAGCCCCTTCCAAGCCCTTCTCCTGCCCATGGGCTGTCAGGCTTCTGCTCAGTCAGACAGAACTGCTTCTGTCTCTGTGCTCAGGCCAGGGTTTTGCAGGTGCTCCTGTTTCTGGGTGCTCCTGGAGGCCCTGGCATTTGGGAGTTAGGCTCTGCTACCCGGTTTTTAATCCAGCACCCAGAAACCAAGAGGTCCCAAATCACAAGTGGCTTCCCTGAGCCTCCCCACACTCTCTTGGGCTCCTTTTCATCACGGTAGCTTAGGAGATGCTTTTATTGCAGATCACAGTGCAGCCCAGGAGCTGAAGTCCTCCACAGAGAGGAAGGAAAAAGCTCTTGAGTCAATGAAGAGCACTTAGTTTCCATGAAAATCTGGCGGTGCTGTTTATTCTCTGACATTCTTCACTCATGTCTGAGAACACCGCAGTGGGGCCTTTAGGAAAGGGCTGAAATTGCCAGCTGCAGTTCCAGCAGCACTGCTGTGTTTTTGCAGGGCTGCTGGGGCAGGCTCTGAGGGAGATATGTGCTGTAATCACCATGCAGAACATGCCCAGCCGTCCCACACGCCCGCTGGAGCGGCTGCGGCTCGCCGGGGCCGGGATGCTGCTTTCCACAGATAGATAATTATTCTTCCCTTTTATTTGAATGCAGATGATGGGAAGCTGTCATTTGAGGAGTTCAAGAACTATTTCTCTGATGGCATCCTGAGCTCGGAGGAGCTGTGGGAGTTGTTCAGTGGCATTGACAGGCGTCACTCAGAGTGAGTACCGTGGTGGCACGGAGGAGACGCAGGAGAAGCTAAAACTGCCTGACTGGAGATGGAGGATGTTTGGAGGCGGGTGTGATAAATAGTCAGGGTGAGACAAACCCACCTCTTGCCACACGCAGGTGTTCAAGCCCAGTGAACACCAGCAGCGAGCCCTGGTGCCGAGACATTTTGAGAGCAGCCGTCAGATTTACTGCAGCTCTGGAAAGGGAGCAAGCATGGGAAATTCCACTCTTTTTGCTTTGGAAAATGTAGTCCAGGAGTACCTGGAGCAGGCTGTGTGTCTGCAGGAGCCTGTGGTGGTGTGGGGACATGGCACAGACTGTGAAAAGTCACAGACTTTGCCACTGCTGACTCAGGGAACTGCTTTTCACTTACATAAGAGCTGCTTTCCACCACGAGTGGGCCTGGTGCGTGTAACGGGGAATTGAGGGCAGCTACTTGTAAAAAAAAAAAGAAAGGCCCAAAAAGCAGGAGAAAGAATTGTGTTTAGCTCTGCTCTCCTCATGAGTGGTGCTATCCAGAGGGGTCTGTTGGGCTCAGCTGGGATTCTCATCCCACATTTTTTGGGTATTTTTGGCCTCACTGGTTGCTGTGGGTGAGTCTGGCCTGGCACTGGGAGGAGCTGGTGCTGCTGAATTGCATGGCTGGGGTCTGTCCAAACACTGGGACGCTGCTGGGGGACAAGGGGCTGAGCTGCTGGGTGGCAGGTTTGGCTTTCCCAGCACCCCAGCACCTCTGACACCCTTGAGCAGGGCACAGCTCCCTGCCAGGGTCAGGAAATTTGGGGCAGCCTGAGCTACACACGCTGGTCCCAGCGCTTTGCAGGCAGCCAGGGCAGTGACACAGAGGGCCCTTGTCACACTGAGAAGCCACCAAATGCCACCAACAGCGGACACCCAGCGTCATCACCCACTCAGGGCTGGGGCAGTGGCAGTGATGGACTCCCAGTGCTGTGGGAGCTGGGTGTATTTCCCACTGCAGAGAAGTGGGCAGGTGTGGGCAGCCTTGTGCTGCTTTCCTTGGAGCCTGCTGCTTGAGCTCGTGGATGTGGGCAGCAGGAGGTGTCTCCTGAAAACATCTCTGTCTCTTTGGGCTGTGATCCCAGGAAGCTGGCAGTGAGTGCTCATTTTGGGGTGATCCTGGAGTCACAACACCCCTGGAAAACACAGGGTGCAGCAAAGCTGGGAGCTTTAACCCAGCTCAAAACTGACCAGGGAAGGTCTCCTGCCTTCAGGTTGGGCTTGTTCCATCTGTCTGGAGCAGCTGAAGAGGCCTGAGTGGGTCTGTGCTGCCCAGGGAGCCGTGGCTGCAGTGGTGCCCCCACAGCTCGTTACCTAATGAGGGTGCCGTAGCCATGGCAACGTGGCAATGGCAGCATCGAGCTGCTGACATCCAGCAGCAGGGCATGAGCCTTGGGTCTTTATTCTCTTCCTGCCACCAAGGGCAGAAGGGACCCTCAGAGCTGTTTCCAAATTCCTGCCTTCAGTGGCTTTCAGCAAATGTAGGAAAAGTGGGGTTTGGGGTGTGCAGGATTTGGTGGCTCATGAGGGCTGTGCTGGCGCCCTGCTGTGCCCGTGGTGGGGACAGCCCTTCTCCCCTGGGCTTCTTCCTTGCACTGGAATTAAGTTCCTTGCACTGTCAGGAACTTACTGTTTCAGAGAGCTGGCCAAAATTTGCTGCCAGCTACAAGCTCTCCAAGCAGATCTGGTGTGCTGCTTCTGTGTCCCGAAGCTTTTGTGATGATGGGGAAGTTTCACCCTTAACCCTGCAGGTGGTTTTGGTGCTGTGTTTGTCATGTCTAGGCTGGAATTTGTGTTTCCTCGTCCCTGCCAGCCTGAGCCGAGGAGGGGCAGTAACAGAGACCTCCAGCACTGCTCAGAGCCATCCTGACCCTCTGCCATCCCTGGAAGCTGCAGCTGCTCCCCTGGGCCCCAGAGCTGACAGCTGGGAACATGGATATTCCAGAGGTCTCCCCCATTTCTTGTTCTCCTTCCAGAGAGCCCCCTGCTCTCCTCTGTCCACCTCCCACCCCTCTGGCTCTCAGGTGGGGCTCTGGAGCCTGTGCATCACACACCTCTGCTGGGGTCACTTCTGATTCTACATTTCCACACAAAGCTGTTCTTGTTCTGCATTTCAGAAGACGGTTCCATTTTGGCATAAAGTATCCCCTTAACTTTAATTCTGTGACATTTAAAAGTTTATGTTGAAATCAAATTCAGCTCTGGATGGCAGCTGGTACACCAGCAGGTCCACAGTTTTGTTTGGCTGCTCCAGAGCTCCACACCAGCTCTGGCAGTGGCACAGTAAGGTTCATCTTCCTGGAAAAGAGCATTTTCATCCTCTGAAACATCTGAGTGAGAAGAGACTGATGTTTTTGGAGGTATGAGAGCTCCATAGCTGCATCCAGAACTGCAGATGTTGAATGCTTGCACTGTGAAACCTGCCCTGGGAATTGCTGTTTGGATTTTAGCTGGCCTGCTGTCCTGCACCTGCTGGGGAAATCTAGAGAAATAAGGTCTAGAAAGTCCATCTTTCCATGGGAGTGTCTAGGAATTGGGTGCAGATTGCTCAGAGCCTTTGACCTGGAGCCACAAGGGGTGGAAGTGCTGACCTGGCGCCTCTTAAAGTCTCTAGGTGGAAATAACCTCAAGCCTGTGAATGTCTGGATTTGAGTGAATTCCCTGCCCTCTCTTTACTCAGAGACTCAGAGTCTCAGCATCTGCCAGTCCCTGATGATGGAGAGTGACTGAAACACTCTGTGTCACATGAAAAGGGTTTGGAAACCAGATCTGTGATAGCACTGGAGGTTCCCAACATGATAAATGATTAAAAAAAATAAAAATAAATCCCGTCTCCTTTTCTGCAGCTGATTGCTGTTTTCTTGCATAAATTCCAGGCACATTCTGACAAAATCCCAACAGCATAATGATGACAAGATCCTCCATCATCAGTTCAGGCTTAATTACAGTTAATCAGTGGTTTGAGCACAGTCAAAATACAGCTATGGGAAATGTGGAGAGTCTCAGGATGAGTGCTTTGGAGGCAGAGGATGGCTCTTCTCTTGGAGTGGGAATGGCAGAGAGGAGCAGAGGAAAGCCTGCTGCCCCTGGCAGCCCTACAAAGTGGGTCAGGCTTTGGTGTGCACATTCTGTCCGTGAGCTCCACCCGGTTTTCTGTGTCAATTCCTTCTGGTGGCATGAGAATGGCCCCAGCAGCCTGGGGTTTGCTGCTGGGCTCTCTCCTGCCCCTGCCTGTGCCCTGGGGCTGCTGATGGAACAGGCTGCAGCAGGGAGGGAAGGGGGCAGATCTTCCCCTGGATAACTCCCAGAGGGATGATTTTTTGCCACGATATGTCGTTGGTTGGTTCAATGTTCAGTGGTTTAGTGACTGATTAGCATTTCTTTTTAAGCAGCAAACAGCTGAGATATAAAGAGTTATTAATAACTTTAGAAGCCACAGGGTGGGAGTTGATGGCAGCTCTTTGTCACACCTTGCTGGAGCTGAGCTGGGAACTGGCAGTGGGTTGAGCTGGTGGCTCCTTGTTCCTGCTGAAACCGGTCCCAGCCCCAGGTGCTCACTGGGAGCAGGGAAAATGCCTGGGTAACGTGGGCACGAGGTGTCCACATCCCCTCTTTGGTGACTTTTCCCCTTCTCTCAGGTGGGAGCCAGTGTTTCCCTGCAGTGACAGCTCTGTGCTGTGGTTGCTGCAGTGCCAGGGCTCTTGCAGCACTGCAGCAGCTCTGCAGGCTCAGACAGCTGCCAGCAATAAAGGGGAAAACTTCAGAAGGAGCAAAACCTTTTCCCAGTGTACACTGGTGCTTCAAACCTCAGTGTCTGTCTAGCAGAGCTGCCCAGAGATGGGATCAGCAGAGATGGAGTGGAGCTGGCAGAGCGAGGGGCTGTGGCTTTGCAGGTTTATCTGTACTGAGTCTCGAGGGGAACACGGCTTTTTTATTCCCTTTAAGAAGTGCCTGCAGTGCCAGGTCAGTGCGCAGAGCCCTGCCTAAATCAGCTCCTGTGTGTTTAAAATAGCTGAGCTGAATGCCAGCCTCACACTGCCTGCAGGGCTGCAGGTGCAGTTGCAGAGCAGAGGGGCTGCAGTCCCCCTGCCCTGGCTCTGCCATCCCTCACACCAAACATCCCCATGCTTTGAAGCACTGCCCACTGTTAAAGTGCTCTCCATGGAAGCCCAGCAGAAAATAAGAGACAGAAACCAGCCTTTGATGTCTCAGGAAAAGCTGTAAGAAGACTTTTGTCTTAATTATTTCCCCTTAAATGGCATTTTGGACACTTCACACACTCTCCTCTAATTTTACATGGGGGTGTTTTTGTCTCTTTGGCCTGTGGGCAGTGTCAGAGGGGGGACAAGGTGATGTGGCTGTGGTTTCCCATCCCCTGGGAAGCAGCACTGCAGCATTCCTTGTGCTTGGAGCCTGGCAAACTCCAGGTACTGCCAATTCCCCCATGTGTGACAGCACTTAAACACTTAAAAAACACTTAAAAAGCTCTCTTTGGGGCTCTCTTCTACTTTCCCAATCAAGATTAAAAATGGTTGTAATCATCTGGGGGATTTTGAGGCAGCAGAATGCCTTGAGCAGAGGCTGATTGGAATAAATGACATCCTGGGGTTTGTCCCTGCAGGCTCTGGGTGATGCTGGGCATCCAGAGCAGCTCTGACTCCATGTCTTTGGCTGCCTGAGCATGTCCAACAGCACCATGCAGACACATCCCAAAACCTGGGGCTGTTTTTGAACGTTTCCTCCTCCCTCTCCCCCCCAGCAGCACCTTTAGCAGCCGCAGGAGGGATCTGCCCGAGCCCTGCAGGGATGCAGGGTGGATCCTGCAGGGGGGATCCTGCAGTGCTGTGCTCTCTGATAGTGAAAAGGGGTGGGGGTCTGCCTTCCACCAGAGCCAGATCCCTGATTTAGTGGCCCTCAGGGCAGGAACAGCCGCTCTGGAGGGCTGTGAAGCCCCCTGGGAGCCTGCAGACAGCCCCACATCACCTGGGCTCTGAGGGAGGGAAGAGGAGGAGGAGCTGCTGGAGGGGGCAGAGGGGAGAAGAGGGGGTCTGGTGCCACGGGAGGACCTGGGCTGAGGTCAGGGATAAACAAGGCTGGATGCTTCCCAGCTTTGGGGAAGAAGTTGGGTTGAAGAAGAAACTCCAGGGCTCAGCTGGCCAGTCAGGGGTGTGGGGCATCTCCATCCCAACCCCACTCTGTTGTCACAGATGCTTTCCCAGCACGCTCCAGCTCCAGGAGGTGTTGGTGGAGCAGATTTTCCTGCTCCTTCAGCCCCTGGGTGCTGCAGGGGCTGGGCATGGCTCCTGAGCTGCTGGCTCTGAACCTGTGCAGCTCCTTATTTTTCTGATAATTACAGCTTCTGAAAATACATGAACAATCAGTACATCCCCTGGGACTCAAACCCAGCCCCCAAACCCCCAGCACTGTTTCCCCCACTCCAGCCCCACTTTCTAACACGAGCTTTTTTGTGTTTCTTGCAGCAACGTGGACACGGAGAAGTTGTGTGGTAAGTGAGGGATATTCCTGCCCTGGAGATCTTCCCCTCCCCAGGGTGTGTGTGGTGTGTGTGTGTCTGTCCTGTGCAGGACTGGGTGGCATCCATCCCTGGCAGGATCCCAGCACAGAGGTGCTGTTCCCAAGGGCATAGGGAAGGACTTTTCATTTCAGTCCAAGTGGGAGAATGATTCTGGAAAAGGAGGGGAATGCCCCCCTTGCAGCTCTGGGCAGTGTGTGGGGAGCAGCAGCAGGGGAGGCAGAGCTGGAGCTGCTCAGGAACCTGACCATGGTGTTCTGTCCTCTCCAGATTATTTCTCGGCGTACCTGGGGGAATACAGGAATGTGCTCTCTGCCCTGGAAACCCTCAACGCTGCGGTGCTGGCAGCCATGGACAAAACCAAGCTGGTAAGGACAGGGCCAGGGGAGGGCAGCAGGGTGTGAAATCGGAGCTGTGGTGAGCTCAGCTGCTGCTGAGTGTGAAATCTGGGGGTCAGAGGCAGCAAACCCCTCAAATCAAGGGGTGCCAGTGTGTGCTTGGGCTGTCTGCATGTGCAGGCAGTGCTGCAGGCACACAGCCTGGAGGATGGGGAGCCAAGCCTGAGGAGGAGAAGGGTAAATCCAAAGCTTTTGTGCTCTGGAGACATCATCCTCCCCTTGCAGGGCTCTGGCAGAGGCTGTTCCAGCAGCTCCTCGCAGGGTCCTGCCCACAGACGCTTTCTGGGAGCATCACTGATAGCCCATGTTGAGCTCTGAGCCAAACCAAAGTGATTCCATCCAGCAGCGTGGCTCAGAATGAGCCCTGCAGGGTGCTCAGGACAGACCCAGCACAGGCTGTGCTCACAGCACCAGGTGCCAGCTGCAGGAGAGGGGCAGGAGCTGCTCTGGGGACTGCTGCTCTCCCAGCCTGCTGCAGAGCTCATTCCTGCTCCAGTGCTCTCCCTCTCACCCTCCTGTGCTGATGGAAGCACTTTGGGGGCTGCTAATGAGGACAAGCTCTGAGCCCTGCAGTGCTGGGCAGCGTTGGGATAAGGACAGGGGGGAAAGGCAGTGCTGGAAGGGCCCTGCTCAGGGACCAGCAGCCCCTTTTGCACCTGGATCTATCAAAGGGCTCAGCTGTGTGCTTGGGCTGGTGCTGAGCCAGGGAAAGACCCTTTCTTTGCCATCAATGCTTTATTCCAAGCAGACGAGGGGCATCATCCTTGTGAATGCTCCTCTGACTCTTGGTCAGACAGAGAAGAAAAGGGGAACCAGTCCCACACTCATCAGAGTGGTGTTTGTGCCTCTGCAGTGTCAGTCCCTCTCTGAGCTTTCCTCTGGCCAGGGCCAGCCTCAGCAGTGTCTCCCTGTATGGGTGGAAATTTCATGCCAGGAGAGGGAATCTCCTGAAAATGCATTTTCTCATTGGTTCAGGTCCCTGGCCCCACTCAGAGTTATTAAATTCAAGTCCAGAGGGAGAGGAGGGATCCTCTCCAGAGAGCTGTGCTTTATTTCAGTTCCTCTCTGTTCTGGTTTTTCAGGTAATGAATGTGTATAGTCATTTATTTCTCCAAAGGGCAGCACAGTCACTCTCTGCTCCACAGTATTGGTGTGAGGCATTCACTCCCTCCACAGCTTCTGGTGCCACTGGTGTTCCCTGGAAAACAGAAGCAGGTTTTTCCTGTTGAAACAAATTTTGATGGATTCATTTCTCTGCCTGTTTGGATCTGCCTGGAGCCAGGGCAGCCCAGTGTTCCCAGCTCTCAGCCAGGGGGGCTCTGTGCTGATCAGGTGCTCTGACCCCAGCCCTGCTGTGCCCCAGGACAGATGTTGATCCTCCTGGGAATCTTTTCCCTGCCCTTCCCTGCTGGGCTCTGATCTGGGGAGAAGGCAGGAGCGGGCAGGGCTCTGCAGAGCTGTGGGACACCTGCCACTGCTGGAGGCTGCTGGAGATGATAAATGCTGCATTCCTACCTGCTGGGACCTGAATATATTCCCACACTTGTACTTCCAGAGTTGGACTCGAGCTTGAGTTATGATGGGATTAGTGGGCTGGATTTTAGCCAGAGCTCACACCTCTGTGAGCCAGGGCAGAGAGCAGATGTCCCATGTTACACCTGCCCCTCAATTCTTTTGGTTCAAACACCTCTCTGAGGCCTGGGAGCCCCCACTTTGGCATGGGGAACACCCTCATGGAAGAACAAGATAAATTTTCATCCCAGGGAGCTGCTTGTGCACTGAGAAAACTGGAAGAGCCCTGCTGAAGGATCTGCAGGCCCTGCCTGTTGTTGCCAGGCTGCATTTACCAGGACTTTGCCTGACTCTGGAGCAGGCAGAGATGCCCAGGCTGGCAGGAAGAAGGAGATCATCTCTGGCTTGAGCTGTGTCTCAGCACAGCAACTCTTGGTTAGGGCATGATCCATCTCCAGCAGTTCCTCAGGATCAGATCCTCAGGCTGCTCAGCCCTGCACCCTCCAGGGAGCCACAACTGAAATCTGAAAATGAGCAGGAGAACAGCTCTGGGGGGACTGCTCAGACCATGCCAATGGAGGGAAATAAGGGAATCAAGGCTCAGAGGGAATGTGCCATGGGGGTATTTGGGAGCTGTGGTTTGAGGCAGTGCTGCCAAAAGCCTTTTTGGGATGGAATACTCCCAGCTGTGCACATCAGGGCCAGGACACCTGGCATGGATCACTGGGCTGTGTCCCAGCTGTCTCCTAGCTGGCAGGCTCCTGATCTGCTCCCACGCTCCCTGTCAGGAGAAACCCTGGGGTGAAGTGTGGGAAGTGCAAGCTGGGTTTGTCCTGTGCAGTTTCTGCAGAAGTTGTGTGTGTGAGTGAGCAGCAAACCTGCTTGGGGTTGTTTTTGTGGATCTGGGTTCCCATGCCTCCATCCTTCCTCACTGGGCTGCTAGGAACTTGCTGAAGGAAATATGCCTTGTCAAGAAGAGAGGGTTTTTCCTCCACATTCTGTCATTCCCACTTATTTGTAAAGTATAACTTGATGGCTGTGCTGTAGTGTGCTAATTACACCTTATTTTGTGGCTGAACTTCATGTTTGCAATATAATTGCATCAGGGTAGGAAGCGAACAGTGGAAATACCTCAGAAAACAGCCTGATGTTTCTCACAGGGGGTCTGTATGCTAAAATCTTTCCATTCTTCAGTGCGCAAACACTGCAAACCCTCACATAAATACCTCTCCAAGCCAGGCAGCCCTGTTTATCCTTTGACAGAAATTATGTGGCCACCCATTCCATTCTGTCCTGAGCTTAACTATCATCATAAGAAACCAATAAAACCCCTCAAAAGCAGAGTTATAGCAGCTCTTGGCAACTTGGTGATTTTCATCTGGGTAAGCAGAGCTGAAATACCAGTGCCCAACCAAAATTCCTCGTCCTGTGCTTGCTGGGTTATTTCTTTTGTGACTCCCAGCCATGGGGCTGTGCCATGAGCAGAAAATGCTGTGCTTGGTGAGTTTATTGAACCTCTGATAACAGAGGGTTTGACTTCTGTGCAACATCTGATGAGAAGATTTTGGTATTTTGCCCCAAAATGAGGAGTGTGATGGGGGCTGCACTTTGGGTTCTTTCTCTCCCCTGGCATGCAATTTTCCAAATCAATGCTGAAGGGTGAAGCAGCATTTGGAGCTCTCCTGAGGGATGGTTATTTCCATCCTTGTCCCAGCACATTCCCCTGGGTGTGCTGTGTTTGATGAGGCAGGAGGCAGCTGGCAGTGCTGCTGTGTCCCTGTGGGACCCTCTGGAGCTGAGTCCCCTCCAGGCACAGCGTGCCCTGCACTGGCAGTGGGGTTTTGGGGGCTGTCACCCCACACTGGTGCCTGTGTGTTTGGGGTGTAGGGACAGCCCTGGGTGAGCTGTGGGGCTCAGGGCAGCTGACAGAAGCTCAGCTCTGCCATAAAACTGCACCTATGAGGGATGTGAGGCTTAGGCCATTGAGGGTGGAAGCTGAGAGGATGGGGAGTGCTGGGGGCAGGGTTGGTGCTTCTCACAGAACCTGGCCCTGGCAAGGGGAGTGATGTGCTTGGGGAGAAGCCTCTGAGCAAGGGGGAGTGTCCGTGTGCCCAGGCTGTGGTAGGGCTGGAAGGACATCCCCGAGGTGAGAGCACATCCCTGAGGTGAGAGCACATCCGTGAGGTGACAGCACATCCCTGAGGTGAGAGCACAGCCCTGAGGTGACAGCACATCCCTGAGGTGGGAGCACAGCCCTGAGATGGGAGCACATCCCTGAGGTGAGAGCACATCCCTGAGGTGAGAGCACATCCCTGAGGTGAGAGCACAGCCCTGAGGTGAGAGCACAGCCCTGAGGTGAGAGCACATCCCCGAGGTGAGAGCACAGCCCTGAGATGGGAGCACAGCCCTGAGGTGAGAGCACATCCCTGAGGTGAGAGCACAGCCCTGAGATGGGAGCACATCCCCGAGGTGGGAGCACAGCCCTGAGATGGGAGCACACCTGGTTTGGCTGCTTGCTGGGGGAAGGGCCTTGCTGGTGCCAGGGGGATGGCAGTGTTTGGGTTTTGGGCAGTGAAATGGACTGTGCAGGGCTATGTGGTGAGTGAATAATGCACCCCCCGGGGACTGACTGGCTGACTGACTGACTGACTCCCTCCCTCCCTCCCTCCCTCCAGGTGTGTCCTGGGGAGGTTGGAGTGTCTCTTGTTCCCCTTCAAGCAGGGAATGAGTCCAGGCTGGCAGGAGTTGGGCAGGCACAGAGAGGCAGTGCTGGCAGGGATTTCAGTGCCTACACAGCCTGGGATGAGGAGGGGAAGGGTGGGCGGGGATCCCCAGGCCTGAGCTCTCCATTTCTGGGGCTGTGGGCAAGTCTTTGTGGGAACACATGGGAGGCTTGGCTGGGAGAGGCTGGAGATGGAACTCAGTTTGCTATGGCTGCATCTTGTCAGTGTTGCTGCCATCCTCTTCCTGAGGCAGGAAAATGAGATTCATCTTCCAGCAGGGATGAAAACCCCCATCCCCCTGGCCCCTGGTGTTGGGGGGAAGCTCTGACCATCCTTTGCTGACTCCACCATGAGCCCTGAGATTGGGGGATGAGCATCCATCCTCTCCACTCTCCCCACTTCCCTTCCCTTCCCTTCCCACCACAGCTGTGCCCAGTCAGACACAGCTCCTGGACTGGGCTGGTGGCACAGAGCAACCAGAAAACCATGAGGGGCTCAGGACCCTCCCCCACTGCTCCCTTCCTTTGACACCAGCAGTGGAAGGGTTACAGCGAAATCCTTCTGTGTGGAGCTTCTGGAATTCCAGATCCCCAGCGTGCTGGAGAGAAACACAGCAGGAATTGGAAATATTTGACCCCAGTAATGGGGAGGCATTGCTGGACATTATTTTGGACATGGTTCATGGAACCTGGGGGTGAGGGCAGCCTGGCTCTGGGTGCTGCAGCCTTGGGGTCACACGAGGACACCGCAGGGAAGGCAGGGATGCTGTTCCAGTCTCCTTGTCCTGTCGAGGAAAGGAGTGGACCTCTCCTGGTGAATGCTCCTGGGGAGCAACCAGCCCTCCTGCATGATGTGGAGGCTCCTTCCTCGACCTCCTGCTGCTGGTCCTGTGTCTCTCAGTGCTCACAGGGACATGCTGTGGTTGCAGTGTCCCTTGAGGAGCTGGCACGGGGCTGGCCATGGGGACAGGAGTGTGCTGTGACAGCTGGGCTGTGCTCCCCAGCTGCTTCCTTCACAACCTCGGATCCCTTTCTAATCATCTGCCGAGCTGAGTCAGTTCAGCCAGGTGAGAAAATGCCTGTTCAGGGAGCTGAATCGGCTCCCTGAAGCACCAAACGACCTTTAGACCAAAATTACAAGGAGTGAACGCAGTTCCTTGGTTTGCAGCTCATCTTCCTCAGCCAGGGCTGACCTGCTCCAGTCAGGATGAGGAAGCAGTAAGTGGCTGCAGTGCAGGTGCTCTGTGGACCTTCCCCTGCTCATCTCCTTCCTCCCACACTTGAGGCTCCCTCTGGGGGTTCTGCAGTGCTGACAGCTGGAGAAGGTCCCTTCCTCGTCCTGACAGCTGCATTTCCAGTTGGGAAGTGCAGCCTGGAGCATTAGGATTGACTGAATGTACCCAGACCAGAGAGTCAGTGTGGTCTGGATCCCCAACACGAGCCCCAGTTGTTTTCCAGCCTGACTGGACACACCCTTGTTAGATGGTGGGAAGGAAATAACCCGGAGTGTCAGTGAAAAGCACTTGGTTTCTTTTGGGGCACTTTAATTGACTCTGCACCCCTGCAGCAGCACAGGAGCCACTCGGTCACCGCTGCTGCAGCTGGGCCCTGAGCAGGGCGGTGTTTGAGTCACTCCCGTAGAGCCACACAGTGGGATGGCTGCCACCTCCCTACTGGAATTTCGTGTGCACATACTCGGCCCCGTGCTCCTGGTACTCGGCCTTTGTCATCCACGTGTGCTGGAAGGACGTGAGCGAGGCTGCCATGGAGCCCCCGGCCCACGCTGCCGTGCCCCTCCTGGGGTTTGCCAGGACCTCGATGTGGACGCCCGCGCCTTGGAAAAGGAAATTCAGCTCCAAGCACATCCTCTCGGGAAAGCCGAGAAACATGGAGGAGCCGCCTGAGAGCACGATGTTGCCCAGAATGTGTCTCCTGACGTGCTTAGACATGGCCTGGAGGCTCTGCCCGACCAGCTGGTGCAGGCCGGGGCAGCTGTGCTGCAGCAGCTCGGGCCGGAACAGCGGCTCCGGGCAGCAGAAGCGCTCCTTGCCCAGCGTTATCCAGTGCCCGTCGGGGGTCTGGAAGCTGGCTGGGCGATGGGACTGCCGGAGGTCTCCCTCGAAGTCCAAGGACACGTAGCAGCACTGCTCCTTCAGCTGGGTCAGCACCTTCTTGCTCAGGGCCTGCAGCAGCGCGGGCTCGGCGCGGCTCTCCAGCAGCAGCCGCCGCAGGTGCCTGGACAGGTGGTCCCCGGCCACCCCCAGGCAGCGGGTGCCCTTCCTCAGGGTCTGGCCCTCCCAGACGGAGGTGACGTGGGACAGGGCTGCCCCGGCCTCCACGGCCAGCCCGGTGACCCTGCCGTGGGCACAGAGCGACAGGAATCCGCTGTTGGCCACGTGCAGGCCGGGCACCCCGAGGCCCTCGAACAGCACCTCGGCCGCCCTGGCCCTGTCGGCGGCGGGGCAGGACGGGGACTCGGCCAGGAGCACCGGGTGCTCCTCTGGGAGCACTCTGAGGCAGCAGCGGAGCAGGTGGCTCCACAGGGTTTTCATGCCGTCCCAGTCCTGAACGACGCCGAACTTGAGCGGCGAGGAGCGGGGGGCTGCGGCAGGAGGGCTCTCTGAGGCAGGGCAGTGCTGCTGGGCATCCCCCGGGCTGCAGGGATGCACCTGCACCGTCCTCAGCACACACTGAGGCCGCTCCTGGCCCGCAAAGCCACCCCGGGTGAAGCGGCTGCCGCTGTCGATGACCACGGCGGGCTTCAGCAGGGATGCCGGGCATACGGGGAGAGCCTGTGGTGGGACAAGAGGGGACTCGTGAGGGCAAACCAGGCTCAGGTGCCTGCTCTGTGAGGGTGGCTGGCTCAGCCCCGCTGCAGGACAGCGCTGGCTGCTCTAGAAGTGTCGGGGTACATCACCCCCCTGTCTCCTCGCTCCCTGGCTCACTGAGCATCCCCCCCGGGTACCTTGTCATCCTTCTCAGGGGTTCTCTAACAGTGCAAGGACAGAAGTTCAGGTGGCTTTAAGAAAGAAATGGAAAACTGGACAGTTGAGTGGTTGGACCAAATCCCAGGCTGTATCTAAAGGAGAGGGGCCAGAAGGTCAAAGGAGGTGACTCTCCTCCTCTGCTCTGCTCTTGTGAGACCCCATTTGGAATATTGTGCACAGTTCTGATGTCCCCAGCATAAGAGGGACGTGAAACTGTTGGAGCAATTCCAGAGGAGGCCACAGAGCTGCTGAGGGCACTGGAGCACCTTCCCTGTGGAGACAGGCTGAGAGAACTGGGGCTGTTCAACCTGGAGAAGAGAAGGTTGTGGGGAAACCTCCCAGCACCTTCCCAGGGTGTGAAGGGGCTCCAGGGAAGTGGGAGAGTGACTCTTCCTCAGGAGCTGCAGTGACAGGACAAGGGGGAATGGGAGCAAACTGAAATTTATGCTGGGTGTTAAATGCAAGAATTCAACTAATTAATAAATTAAAGAATTAATTAAAGAATTTTTACTGTGAGGGTGGGGAGGCACAGGGTGCTCAGAGCAGCTGTGGCTGCCCCTGAATCCCTGGAAGTGTCCAAGGCCAGGTTGGATGGGGCTTGGAGCAGCCTGGGACAGTGGAAGGTTCCATGGCTGGAACTGGATTATCTCCAAGGTTCATTCCAATCCCTTAATATCCTATGGTTCCATGAATGCTGCTGCCAGCAGAGCCCAGAACACATGGAGAGGGGCTGAGAGGATCTGTGATCCCAGCTGGCAGAGAAAGGAAGGAGTTTGGGGTGCCTCTGTGTGTGTCCAGGCCCTTCCCTGGCTCTCTGTGCCTCCCACACCTGCTCCTGTGGCATGCTGTGCTTCTTGACCCATTCTTTGGGCACTCTCCAGGCCAGGTGACCCCTTTGTTCTCCCCAGAGCTTCTCACGTCCCTCTGGATGCACTTTTACACCCCCAGCATAAGCACACATCAGAAATTCATCAGGGAATCTCCTGGAAGCAGACAGGCTTGGCACTGTTTTCTTGGGCAGAGAGGACACATAGCCCCAGCCTAGGCCTGCCAGTGGTTTTCAGGTGGTTTTCAGGTGGTTTTTGGATCCCTGGAAGGAGCTGCCAGCACCCAGGGGGCCACCACAGGCTCCCAGCCTATTCCCCGAGTCCTGGAGTGAGCAGAGTGGGGAGCACAAGGGATGCTGTGCCAGCCCTGCAGCCCTCCCTGGGGCTGGGGGCTGTCCCTGAGAGTGACCTTTACCTCGTGGCTTGTGTCCATCTGTCCTCCTGCACGGCTCCTGGCGTTGGCAGTGCTGGGACCACAGTGCCATGGAACCGTGGCTGCATCCCCCCTTGTGATCTCACAGGCAGTGCCCCCCGAGGGTTCTTCTGCCCCACGGCATCACTGCTGCCCTGAGGGTTACTTTTGGTGATAATTAAAATTTGATTGAAATCCACCCCGTCTGGTTTATTTAAGGGACAGCCCCTTCCAGGTGTGGTTCTGCTGCCCCTGCAGAGAGCCAGATCTGATAGATCCTCCCCCCTGTCCCCTAGAGGTACGAGACCTCCTCGAAGATGGAGCAGTTCCTGACCCGGTTCCTGCTGCGGGAAACCATGCACCAGCTGCAGTCCCTGCAGGCATCCCTCGAGTGCGCCGTGGACACCGTGGAGGAGCAGGCGGGACGGGAGAGGTACCGGGGTGGGATGTGCTGGTCCCCCTGTCCCCAGCCCTGCTCCTCACTGGGAGGGACAGCCGGGAGTGGGATCTGCCCTTTCCCAGCCTGGTGTGGAGCTGACACCTCGAGGAATGATTTCAACCCCTCCTTTTGCATTTTTTTTTTTTTTTTTTTTTTTT